GGAAAGAATACAAGCAGACAGAGATTGCATTCAAATTGCAGTGTTTAAAGGCTCCTTCTGGATCCATTCTCCATAAATTATCTACCTTGCCTCTGACTCCAGTTCTGCCTTTGCTCTGCACAATATTGTGTGCTAAGTTGCTCCATAATTTAGTCAAAAGTGTGAAAAATGATAAATTTGGTTTAGTTTTGGTTTTTGGTTGGCCATCCTTCTATTAGGAGAAGTGGGACACTGAGGGAGTGATCAGAGCTATGTGCACTGTTTAAAATTTATATGTATCACAAGTGTATATATTTGTATAATATTTTCCAGTTTTGCCTGTTTCTTAATGATTTCTAGTATTTTATTTACCTTTCTGACCCCTGCAGAGCATTGAACAGACATAGCAGAATACTGCCTGAAAAAAATATAAAGAAACACCTCTTTCTTAGTGGTAATAGTTGTTTATCTTTAAGTAATACTGTTCTTGTTCTCTCCGAGATCTACAAAAACTTACTTCTAAAGAGTCACAAATGGCCTCACTCTAAACAGTCTGTGTGGCCTTTCTACTCTAACCCTACACCACTGCTGACTCCAAGGCCCTTTTTCCACCAGCTGTCCACTGGATGCCAGTGTTGATACACAGAAATGTAACTGAGCCAACATTTTCATGAAAATAGGGTACTTGAATGAATTCAATATCATAAATGTAATTATTTTCCAAGAAGCTACAAGAAGATTCAACTGCATATTAATTTAAGAAACATTTTATACTTCAGCTTTCAGATATTAGAGCTCCTCTTTCTAAGCACTTATAAATACTGTAAATTTGTGAATAACTACTTTTCAGCAATACCTTAGACATTGCTATTTTTTATGTTAGGACTACTAACATAAATAGAACACTACTGATTAATTAGCATATGTGATTTGCACGTACACAGGATATGTTTTTAAAGGGAAGAGGATACGCTACATCACTGCAGCTTAAACATGAAGTCGCCGGCACAACTCTGTACATCCTAGAGGCTTTTCCAAGTGTAACTGTACAGAGCCTTTTTAAAAAGCATCATTACCATAAGTAAACCAATTATAGCTATAAAGCTTTTAAAGTATATGTAAGGCTTCAAAAACCACTTCTAAAGGGGTCTCATAGTTGCCTGGACTCTTTTGCATATATTGTCACAAGATTTATAAACCAGAAATGGCAGAACAGGACCAAAAAGAAGCTCAAGACCTACACAGTGATTAATTATCCTTTTAACTAAACAAATCCTGTTGGTGGAGAGAGAAGTGGGGGGTGGGAACAAGTTACAAAACTCATATCTTCTGGAAGTGTTTGAGAGAGAGGTAAACAGAACTGAATCAAAAATGAGCAATTTTTTTAACAGTTATAAAAATGGCCTATCTTACACGTTGTATTCCATTTTGTCTCAAGACTATTATTTGGCTCAAGTTTTACTATGTTAGCAACTGGTCAGTTTGGTGTTTATAGCATGAATAATGAAGATTTTCAGGCCCTCAAACTGCGAAAGCCAGTATGTTATTTCCTGATGTATGCAACTGTGAGTATTGATCTTCTCATTAATAGAAGTCTATAAATTCAGAAACAGGTCAAAGCTTGGTTTTGAAAAATTACACTTTGTAATATTTAACAGTTGTTTGGCCAGGACACTTTGCTATGGGTAACCACTAACGATGTCTTTCCACACACCACTATTATTCAGTAAAGCCAGTCCATCTCCCTCTGTAGTTTGCAACTGCGTTCACGGAGTATGCAACAGTGGAATTACAGGGGATGGAAGATGCACTTGCTTGTCTGGATACAAAGGGCTCCACTGTGATCAGCGTAAGTAGATTACTTTCAGTATAAAACATATTCAACAGGTCTGATACAGTTAGAATTGGTGAGGCTAAACATAACACTACTCTCAGGTTAGTAACACTGAACCTCAAACCCTATGTCTGAGCTCCCATAGCCATCATCACCACTTCAATCACCAGAATAATGACAACAGCACTGCGATCCATGATCCCAGATTAAGCACACTTTGAACAGGTATACTACAGGATGAAGACCTCCTGGCACAGTGTGCAGACACAGCTTAACCTGTCACCCTCTGTCCCTCAGCAATAGAAGAATGTGAGGCCTTGCAGTGCCCTGCAAACTCCAGATGCACTGCCTCGAGTGAGGATGGAATACAACTGCAATGCACGTGTCTTCCCAACTACCACGGGGATGGTACACAATGTGAACGTAAGTAATTTTTGTGTCCACTGAGTTCTTTGGATTCAGCGCCATTAGTATTATTACAGTTCAGATACTGAGTCCACTTTTAAAGCAAATCTCTCCATTGTCTTAATTGTTCTTGGGTTCATACCCCAAAGCAGTCTTGGGTGCACAAACTAGATTCCTTCTGGATGAAACTAAACCCTAAAACATGCTCCAGAAGCACATCAGTCCAACTGCTAGTAAGCTTCAGTCCATGCAACCAGACTAAAGCTAGAAAACCCCCTTGAAACGTGTAGTATGGAAACTGGGTCATCAATGCTTACAAATCCAGTCCTGTCACATCACTGGACTTGCTAAAGTTCAACCTCATAGTTTGCTTCCATAAAAATCACCAACAGCAATCAAGGGCTTATATTTATTGAACATCCACCATGTGGCAGCTGAGCTTCATCACTGAGCATAAGCTCTACAGACAAGGTCATTTTAGCTTTCATATTTTTTGTGAAACAAAGGTAATAGCATCTCAACTAGAGGTAAAAGTCTACCTTAAAGTTGTCTTTATAGACACCCCAACTTGCCATTGAATGCTCAGATTAACTGTATTACAAGAGTCTCTACTTACATTATGTCTTACAGAACCAGTTCTTCCTTCTAGACCAATTGCAATGAAGAAAATACTTGTATCTGATGTTGGAAGGACTATCTAGTAAATGTTGGCTTGGATCAGGCCAGAAGTGCAATACTTCTGATCCTCTCCAGGAATATTAATGTTATATAATTCAGCCCTCTTGGGCCTAACTATGGTGTAGTCCTCTCTAAGTAGGCTTGAGTAGCATCCAAGACCAAGACATGAGAAAGTCACTCTTCAGGGAACGTGAGGTTCTTCTAGTAGGCAGTGTAGACAGGCAAGAGACAAAGAAATTGCATCAACCAGCAGAGAAGGAAGACGCTAGCATCCCTACCTCTCTTGGGTTTTGCACTGATACAGCCTGCATGGATGTTGTTCCTCTGTCCCAGTGCCTTTAGATACTGGGGTCACCTGTGGCTTAAGCCAGTGTCTTTTATATTTGACTGGCTGGGAAACAGAGAAGCAGCAGCTCCAGCACAGCTAAGCACATAAGCGAGGATAGCAGTAGCTGCCTCAGACTCAGCTTGGAGTTGGCATTGCTTACGGTCAATTTGAGCACGTGAATGTGTGTATGTGCATGATTTCACACTGGAACAGAAGAGAAGGCTTGAAAGAGTGGAGGTCAGCATTGCCAACTCTCTCAGTCCCAGCTGAGGGAGAAGAAAGAGGAGACGGCAAGACAGTGAGCACAGCAGCACCTTTTAGGTGAGTCCAGGGTCTGCCACCTTCTAGCTACAATGTGTGCTTGACCATATCGTAAACTGGACACAAAGATGTGAGAAGGTGCTCTCCAACCACTGCTGGACTATGAACAAGGACAAACAATTCCATTGCCTTGAAAAAAAGGGCTCACAGAAATAACTAGTGAGCTTCCAGTCCAGGCCTGAAACCTCAGCAGTGTGGAAGACACAGCTAAACTGGCCAGTTTTCCATTAGCTGAACAGATGACATTATATTGTTTAATTACCGGAAAGAAAACAGCAAAGGCCCATTGTATTGAGAAATATTTTCCAACTGATCTAACACGTGCTTAAAGCTTGTACGGACCTTGTATCACCTACCTGACCTTCTCTGGTTAAAATCCACCAGAGAACAGGGAAATAGTTGTGATATTTTAATGAGCACATTACATGTTTTAATCTGTTTATAACTCAATATGCCAAGTTAAGAGATCATTTCTGTTCAAAAGCAAACAGTCGGTTGCTACATTAGTATAAACACATTCCTCTCTTCTGTCTTCGTGCCGCCAGGATACTTCAGACTTGACTGTTACGAGAAGTTTAGTCTACCCGGGCTTTGTTTGGCATGGAGGTGCTCTGGCAAATCCTTGTCTTCAATTTGAGAACTGTAGGCAATAATTCATTTACTTCACTTCTTTTTTCACTAGCTATCAACCCATGCTCCAAAAAGGTCTGTGATCCTAATGCTGACTGCATTTACCTCGGACCAAATCAACACAAATGTACCTGCCAAGAAGGTTACAGAGGGGATGGTCAAGTCTGCTTACCCATAGACCCTTGCCAAGCAACATATGGGAATTGCCCTGCACAGTCCACCATTTGCATATATGATGGTCCAGGAAAGGTTAGTGTTGAATGAATGCCCCAGATGTTTCCTGTATCAGCTGCCTAAGAAGAAATAATGCCTTCTCTCCAAAAATAAGCCATGAGGGTATGGGCACAGGCCTCGGGGAGACCAAGCTTTACTCCTAGCTTTGGCATAAGCCCTGCTGTTGACCAGGAGTGAGTCCCCTTACCTCCCTTCTCAACGTATCTGTATCATGTTTCCCCCTCTGAAAATAGGAATGGCAATTGTGTTCTTTTTCCTAGAATATTTTGGCTCAGATTTGCCTCTCCAGAATGGAGGCACTGAAATAAAGCTTCTTCCAGTTAAATTTTGTCTTTCTGACCACAGGTGGCTTGTAGGACCAGTAGACTCCTTACACAGGTACCAGAGATACATGCCTAAAGTTAGTGTCTTTAGGAAAGAAGTAATCTGAGTCTTTGAGGACAACCAATGAAAGGCACTGTATAAAGGCTGCATATTATTCACGCTGTTGGGAACTGGCTCAGATTTCAGTGAGTAAAACTCCTGCCACCAAGAAAGCACACAACTTCAGAAGACCATGCCCGTTTTGCCTGGACATCTTGAAGAACCAAAAAGGGACTTGGTCATCTAGGGTTGTCCTGCAGTTCACAGTCATACAAGTTCCTCCTCTCAGGGATGTCTCAGTGAGCTGCATGTGGCTGGTACACATGGGCTGGTGTGTATAACAGCAGTGCTGATACACCTCGCTCATTAGTATTCTTTAGCACTCATTTTGAGAGACAGAGGGCTGTGGAAAGAAAAGTAAAAAATTTTACCTATCCACACTGATTTTAAATGTTCTCTGGTCACAGAAATGAATCTACAGGGCTTTACCTGAAATAAATTTATCTGAGAGTCAGTAGTTTTCTGGAGTGGATAAAACCTAGAAGGGAGTTCTATAAATATGGATAAGCTTTATACTTGCATCTGAACTCACCAGATGATTAACTAAGACTCACTGTCTTTAAACCTTAGTTCCAGAAAGTATGCTGAAATCCACAATTTGTGCATGTCTAATTTTTCTCTCCCCTCTCCCATCCTTCTGATTTAGTCCCACTGCGAGTGCAAGGAGCATTACACAGACTTTGTACCTGGGAAAGGATGTAGCATGACAGACATCTGTGAAACAAACAACACCTGCCATAAAAAAGCTAAATGCTCGATGGCTGCACCAGGACAGATTTCGTAAGTCTTTTGTTTATTAAAGCTTTCAGCCAGATTCTCCCTCCTCTTCCTAGTAAACAGGCTGCTAAAACAAATCCAGTGGATGAACACCTCCTGAAGTTGTCATTAATGGTTTCTTTATCAAGGACAAATTGCAAGATTTAATGGAGTTAGGGTCAGCCAATTAGCATAGCATTTGATTTCATCAGAGCAACTGCTAATATCTATTAAGTTTTACTTTTATAGCACTCAGAGGTCATTTCTACACTAGTAAATAAAAAGGACCAAGACCTCTTTTCTGTTCCACAGGGCAAGAAGCACCGCCTGGCTCACAGCTAAAATCTCTTCTTCTTCCAAAACAGAGTACCTGCCTCTTGGCAGTAGTCCCTGGCACACGCTATCCCTTCAGCTGTGCCTGGGCACTGCCTGGGAAAGTTCTACTTGGTGTGGGCCAGAAACATGCCAGGCACCATGCTAAAAATTAATCAGCATTAATTATCATGGGACAGTGCTGGAGCCTTGGCTCTTTTTAGTATACTAATACAGATACAACAAGGAAATCTGACCCCCATGCTGTGAAAGCAACACCAACCTCAGCAGATTCCTCAAATCCTCAAGTCAAGCACGTGGGAAACCGCAAAAAATCTGCTTGCAGAGTTTATTTTCCTGTACAGAAATTTGCTACACAAATGTTAGGAGGAAAGTAAGTTTTAACACTAAACAAAGCTATCTTCGGCCAAAGAATTTGGATTACACATTTCTATAGGCCAGTGATGGTTAGTACTGCATTTAAAGAGGTGTCCCTGAAACGTTAGTTTTCAGGAGCTGAGAGTTTGAATGTCAAAGACAAGACAGGCCATTAGCTGTAAGTTTGGAACAAATTATTTATCATATAGTTCTACAGACAGAAAGTGTTCACTCAGGAGACTATTCTTATTGCCAGTTCTTGCTTCATCGTGCAGCTTTCCCTTACAGTGTAATATCAACATCACTTTTGTGACAACTATTGTGCATTTCAAACAAGTTTATCTAGAATATCCCGTAGTTCATTTCAAGAGCTTAGTATACTACTCAAACTGCACTTAGTACATACCTATACTATACTTAGTATAATATACTAATATACTGCACAACATGAGTCAAAAATTTAAAATAAAATTCCATGTCACATAAATCAGGACATTTCTTCCCTAATTTGTCATGTTTCACTGTTGCAACTCAATTTTCAACAGCTGAGGAAGTTTTGAAAATTTTATAACAGGAAAACAAGCAATCCAACTGCTTTGCACATCATTCATTCAATGACCTTTAATAGCAAAACTAAATACAGAAGAAAGGAGTGGGATTCAAATCAAACTAAAACTATCTATTTTGAAAAAAAAAAAAATGAACCTATATTGAATAGTTTCCAACTAAGGAAAACCCATTTATGAAAGAGGGACTTTGCAAAGGAAAATATTGATTTGTATATGTGGGCAAAGTCAATTGTTTCTGATAAGTGACAGACACTTACTGTATGTTGGCTGCATCCCAGATTTTAAATGTATTTGGAAGGGCTTGTTTTGGTGGATTTCTTTTAATTCTTCTAAAACACAAAGCTGTAACAGGGGCCACAAAACTATGTTGCTTCTTTTCTTTTTGATTCTGTTTTTATTAAAGACACAGTTCTGCTGTTAGCTTCCCCCCATATAGTCACTTCTACTTTCTTCAGAATCAAATGATTTGTACAGGAATAAATCTCTCATATGGACAAAGATGTAGAAAAGACAAACATTTAGTTTGTGAACACAACACAGCAACCTCCTAGAAAGTCAAGATTGCCTCTGTTCCCATATAGATCTTTCCTGATTGAGTGCTGACACTTTCTATGGCATTGCTTCAGCACACTATGTTCAGCCTTGCCCAGAAGCTACAAAGCTTCAATTGGTGCAGAATTACACTGCATATTAGACCATAGCCTCTCTGGCTTCCAAGCAGGTAACTGTCTTTCCCTCATCTAAACTCAATTATTTTCTTTTTTAATCCCACTCTTATTTTTACTCTATGTCTTCAATGTAGACATTAGTAGCTTCATAAATGAAAACTCTATCATACAAGTCTCAGGGTAAAATGGAGACAGAAAGCTGACCTCCCCTTTTCCAGAGAGACAGAATTCTCTTCCCCCTCCTAAGTAAGCTGTAGTGACAGTTCCCACCTTTTTCAGTCCTGCCTATACTTTCCATGCAGCATATCATGAAAACATCAAACAACTAAGTTTATATAGTCCAGCAGGGTTTGTTGTAAAGCTATTCCTCTTTAGAGCCACCCAGCCCATACAACATGCAGTGCATTCAAAGCAAAACCTATAAAGCCATACACAGTACGAGTTGCGAACCAGATCAAAGATCCAGACAAAGCTAAGACAAAACTGATCTAGTCAGTCACCCAGCTGGTCCTTCCCAAGCCCAGCCAACCAAGTAAATTACTCCATCAGAAGGCATCACTGGCCAGACAGGTTGAAAGGTTCAATCCCATGCAATAGGTGCTGGTCTGTAATTGCTAAATGCTTTCCTTTGTCAATCAAATCCAAACCATGTTACTGCACACCCACTCAGTTACAGGCAATACTGTCCTTAGAAAAGAAGTTTCAAACTACGTAGGCATTTCGGCAGTTCACTGTGCCCCTGAAAATGATAGCCCAAAAAACCTACTATGTTTAACCACCTGCTTCTTTATGATCATTTGCTGAAAAAGAGAGGAAAAGTTTATTTTGAAACCTTGATCCAATTTGTGCAATATTTCAAGGGTAGTTTCTTTTTCCTACTAAACTATTACTCAGCTCCTTTGAAGCCTCAGTTTTTTTCTTCTCTGCTCAGAAGTGAAAGGGGCTATGTACCTCAATACAGCAATATTTATCCCATGAGAAGAAAGGAGTCAGCTCCCAAGGAGGAGCTGCCCCTCTCTCCCAGCCCTAAACCCTTCATCCAGGCTCCACAGTCATACTCTCTGCCCAAGAGATCCCTTTAAAAAGAAGAGGGCTCACCATCTGAATTGCATCCTAAAAATGTAAGATGCTTTTAAACTGCTATTTTTACCCAGGACCAGAAGGAGTCAAAACTTGAGCCTCTTGGCCAAAATCCCATCATCCTTCTGAGTCTATATGCAGCCCCCCAGACTGCAAGGACTGTGGGGATTTTCAAGTAAGATTGCTATCATCAGGGAAACAGCTATGGTAGAAATTGTACGTGGGAAACAGGAGATGATTTGGCATCAGGCTGATACTACTGCGGGGTATGAGTGGCAGATGTGCATTTGTAACAACCAGCACATGCAAATGATTCGGTCATTAGTTATATAAAAAACATCTTTTGCTTGCGTGGAGTAATGTTCCTTCTCTAATGATGCCTTTAGAAAAAATATCTAGAGAGATGAATCATTATGGATAGGGCTTATTCAAATACTGAACATGCTGGAGACTTAATTAGGAAAGACACTATTAAAAGCCAATGTTTGGCAACACATACCATATAGTTGTTCATCTTCCTGAATATAGTTAGGGTTTCTTTCTGTGCGTGCTACATGTTGACAAGCACCTGCTTTAATTTTAGCACTGAAGATGAGTGACTGAGCTGACACTACCAGCCAGTCCCCCAGGAGCAGCCAAGCAGGGGCTCATTTTCTGAAGAGTGCAACAGAAAGAGCTGAGATTGGCAAAACCAACATGCATCAATGGCCCCTCACATTGAGACAAGCTTAAAGAGCCCAGATTTTTTAGAAAGTGCTAACCACCTCCTCCAGTGAATAGACAGTCTGACACCAGGTCAAGGCACACACAAGTCCTAGTTGCTCTTTGAAACTCACAACCATTTGTACCCATCAGCACCTAATAGCAAGAACCTGTCAATCACATTGACAACCAACAATTTCTTCCCCACCTCTCTTGCAATGCTGAGGTCTTTCACGGCCCTAAGATTCAGTTTTCACGAGGCATATTCCTTCCTTTATAGGACAGAAAATGTCAGACTGACACTTGGGGGATTTTTCCATAAATTTCCTCTAGATTTTGCCTTGGCTGCAACATGCTACTTCAAATGCAGCCCATCTCAAGGCAGAGAGGACATGGAGCCTATCTCAAGGCATTACCTGTCACTCTCACGAGCACCACAACCTGAGCCTGCTTTGGACGTACATAGGACTGGGTCAACCATACATCACCAACACCTCCCACAGGCTGGAGTCCCCAGGGGACAGCCAGAGTGTTACAGATGACATGCTATTTCCAGTGCAGAAACAGCAGCAGCATAAAACATACATCTGAAAAAAAGCATGAGATTTCATGCTTCAGCAGTTTTGGAGGGGGGGGGGAAGGATAACATTAAAGTAAAATTGTAATTGTCCAAAATGGTTGTGTCACTTAAAGGGCAGGGTAAAAACAACTACGTTGCTTTGCTGAAAGGACTTACACCTCTGCCTGTCTTTTTCTACCAGTCCCACACAGCTATCGCAAGGATTGATGAGCTGCCATCACACCCTTCATACACAGCTACCATAAATCATGCCAAGTCCCACATAGTGAGTGGGGTCTTCACCCAACTGCCTCCCTGCTGCGAGGCTGGCACCCCACACACTTATGCCATAGCCTCCCCTTGCCCACAGGCAGGGAGGCTCAGTGGCTTTCTGAGCTCCAGTAACTACATTTGGGGAACACAGGCTGCACCACAGCCAGGGGCATTGCATAGCCCCCATTTAAATAGATCCTGCAAGACAGACACTGCTGCCTTCTGGCCCAGCTGACAGAAGGACATAATGTCAGGCAAACAGCCACAAGGCTGCCATACACACTGACACACTTTGCAGCATACAGAAGCAGAGATTAAACTAAAGTGCATTGGTGCATCCTGAAAATGCCTTCAGAAAAGCAGTAAGTAATACCTGGGGCAGGTTTAGTGAGAGCCTTGCTGACACCACAGGGCATCAATGCACAGCTAAAATGACGATCCCTTCTCAGGTGTACATGCCAGGGGGGCTCCGTGGGGAACGGGTTTGTGTGCTATGGAAACATCATGGAGCGCCTCCGAGACCTGAACGCTGAAGTAGGAGGACGGTGGCAAGGCAAGCTGACATCCGCCTTATTGCTCATGGGTAAGTGACCACACACAAGAAGAGTCAGGCACGATTGGTATGACGTGCCTTGTAATGACTGCAAAGATTTTTTTTTTTTAGTTCTGATTTTAAACCTCTGGAAAAAGAGCTGAATATTAGAAATTTTAATGCCTTCATCTGCAGAATCAGTGGTCTCATACTGCTGCATGAAACAGAAATACCATCAGGGCAGAAAATTAATTAACTTTCTGTGCATCAGCTTTTATTACCGGCTATATGTTTGGTGATATTTGCACTGCCAGCAGGTTATCAGCAGCCTATTGCTCACCCCATGAAGACTGAATTAATTTCAAGCAGGAGGCCATCGTCCTGTAAAGACACATCTCCAAAGAAATGCTGTTTTCATGTCCATCACCCTGGTCTGCATGTCATGGAATCCAGGATGTGTGAAGCATTCTGAATGTTTTGCCTCATCCTGTGTCAAACATGCAGCAGCACCTGGATTTCACATCCCATCTGCCTCTCATCTTTAAACAACTTGGATTTTAGCATCTTAAATTAACATTTAATAATAACAGATAGTGTTCTTTCTTATTCTGCCCTTGCATACCTGGCAGAGAGTACATAGTCCCCTCTTCCAGTGAGCTTTTCAATACACATTTAAACTTTTTTTTTTTTCTCCCTCCTTCCTCATAAGAAAATGTCTATGAATGGCCGCTGAGTACTCTGGGACCATTTACTGTGCTTGTACCGACAAACAAGGGGCTCAAAGGTACAAATGTAAGTAAACAATGGAGCGGGTTTTAAACTGGGGTGGGGGATTTAGCTTCTTCAGAAATCTCATCTGTATTAAAAAGTGTTTTGATGCAACAGATTTGAAAGAACTTTCTGCTCTAGTACACTTCTGGATACATTTAAATCTAGGGGTCAGAGATTGCCTTTTTTCCTACTTGAAAGAAAACTAAAAGAATTTGGCCAGTCAGGGTAGAACACAGTCATGTGTCAAGTTTTGGATTGTCTTACATGGCTATGCTCAAGGGTTTTTTTCACTTGGTTGAGCCAGGGCCTGAATTAAGATCTGAATTTTCAGCAGGGAGGCCTACAGGTCACCTTTTATGTAAGGGTGATTTAAAAATAATGTTTTTAGTTAAAAAAAAAAAACAATAAAGTGGCCTTGATCAGCATCCAGTACCTTCCCCTGGAGTTAGGACAACCCTGGGGCACTTACTGCTCAGGCAGGGACATAAGGGTGTAATGTGACCTGAACTTAAACCGAGAGAGGCCTCTACTTGGTTCAGGCTCTATCGCCTCACTTCAGAAAAAAAAAAAAAGTGTCATTTCAGAAAGTAACAGCTGGAGGGAAAAAAAGCATTCACCACAAGATTCATTATAGATTAAGCCTATATTGAAATAAATCTCTGTTGTTCTGCTCTTCTAGATAAAGGATCTTCTGAATAATAGACAGAAAGCACAGTACTTCGTGAAACTCCATGTAGTCGCTGGTCAGTTGAATACCAGTAGCTTGAATAATACTAATGTAATATACACTTTGACTGGCAAGTCAGGGGAGATAACAAAGGGAGAAAAGGTAAGCGGCCTTCGAGCCTGCCTCAGCAAGAATGCTACTTTCTGGTCATTCAACAAGGAATATGAAAGGTGTTTCCACTGTGAGATGTCAGGTTGCAGATAGCTGCTGGATTACAAAATACCACAGCTGTGGCCATTCACTTCAGGGAGTTTAAGTGAAACTTGAAACCTCACCAGCACCAAAGTTCCCACTAAAATCAGTGAAAACAGAAGTTACCTGCAGAGTTGTGTCAACGCCGAGTGACACAGCAGTCTAACACAGACTGCTCTAAAAATGTTTGCTGAAATTAAATGGTCTTAAACCTGCAGGCATGACCAAGAGCTGGGGGTGGGACATTAAGAGAGCCTAGGTGAAGTAAGAGGGGGAGGGGGGAGGGAAAAACCCAGAGCTTATGCTAGAAATCTGTGCCTACTGCTCATGCAGAGTGAGCACTGGCTGCACTGCAGATCCCACCTCCCACTGACCATCAGCCTGGGCGTCTTTTGAATGATGCAGCACATAGAAGCCAACATAAATCAAATGCACATGGCAATTTATCATGAAAAACAAAGTTCATCACTAACCCAGCTGATCTGATGTTAAAAAACATCAGGGCAGACAGATCCCACAGTCTAAAATAATTGTTCTCTACAGCTGATATACCAGGTTTTATAATACAGAATTATTGCACTTGGTCCATTAAATGCTTCTTAATGCCTTGAGCCTATATGAAGGCTGAAATCAAGTACTCATGTTTTAGTAGATCAATGGCATCTGAGAGACCAATTTCATTTCTTTAACAAATACACACTCCATTTGTAACAGGAAAATATCATTGCTGTCTGAGGCCTGCTGGTTTCCTGCAGGCTTCAGTACAGTGCAGAATCAGCAACAATTTGTTGTTTTAAATATACATATAATATAAGGAAATGGACCGTAGTCCCCTGAGATTACATGAGTTGACCTTTTCAGTACAATCACATTTTAAATCATTTCCTGGCAGACTTTTATTGCTAGCAGTCATCAGAGCCCTTTTAGGTATACTGCTCTCACCACAGAGCCTGTCTCTGCTTCTCTTCTGAACTTTGCTGTCCTGGAACATAATAACATGGTCCTGATCCAAAGTCAATGGATTTTTTTCCATTTCCTTGACAGGCATTGGAAGCAACCTTTAGCCTCCCCAGATTTAAATGGCTCAGGTGCTGGCAATGGAAGTGGGTGTCAGGCTTTATTCAACATGCATACTCACTCTGTTGTAATTCCATAATAAAGAGCTCACTACTCATTGCCTGGTTTCTTCCAGGATAATCAACTGAGAATTAGAATCCAAGGAGGAAGAAGGAAAGGAAAACTTTTGCAAGGAAATGTTATCACTTCCAATGGGATTTTGCACATTATTGACAAAGCAATGGACAACGTGGAACCAACATTTGAAAGCAGCAAAGAGGTGAGCTGTAAGCTCTACACATGCAATATCTTACTTTCTTTTAAAATAGTTTCACATTAATGGAATGCAAAGGAGGATGACTGATAGCAGCTAGACAAACTCTGCTGAGCCATTGTGCATTAACTCAGAGAAGCAACATTCAAACTGAAATGTAGCAATGCAGTTGCCACAGCAAACAGTCATTTGCTCTTCTGCCGAGCTGGTCCATGGAGGATTTGGTTGTACTCACTGCATTTAAGTTGCTCCTTGGGAAACTAGCAATCAAGATCATTGCATTTCACCAAATTACACAATACTAAAGGAGGGAAGTCCGGACAGACACCAGGCAAGACTTGCATTCATAGAATCATAGAATCATTTAAGTTGGAAAAGACCTTTAAGATCATCGGGCCCAACCATTAACCTAGCACTGATAAGTCCACCACTAAACCATCTCCCCAAGAATCACATCTACACATCTTGGAAATACCTCCAGGGACAGTGACTCAACCACTTCCTTGGGCAGCTTCCAATGCTCAACAACCCTTTCCTTGAAGAATTTTTTCTTAATATCCAATCTAAGCCTCCCCTGGTGCAATTTGAGGCCATTTCCTCTTGTCCTATCACTTGTTACTTGGGAGAAGAGATCAAAACCCACCTCGCTACAGTCTCCTGTCAGGTAGTTGTGGAGAGTGATAAGGTCTCCCCTCAGCCTCCTTTTCTCCAGGCTAAACAACCCCAGTTCCCTCAGCTGCCCCTCATAACACTCGTGCTCTAGACCCTTCACCAGCATCACTGCTCTTCTCTGGACATGGTCCAGCACTTCAATGTCTTTCTTGTAGTGAGGGGCCCAAAACTGAACACAATATTTGAGGCGCAGCCTCACCAGTGCCAAGTACAGGGAGATGATCCCTTCCTGAGTACTGCTGGCCACACTATTTCTGATCAAATATTGTCCACTGTCAAACCAGCAATGCCCCCTCAAAAGGCTAATATTGTAAAAACTGATAATTTTGGATGCTTTGGGGGTTTTTTTGGTGCCCTGCTTAGCATACTTCCTTGAGAGTTCACTTCTTGTATGGTGTTTTTGCAAACATTTTATTTCTCTGCCCTTTCTCAATGGGAACACATAGATGATAACACTTTCCCTTTTTACACACACAGTTTGTATGTTCTGTGACTAGACAGGATTTCAGGACAATCAAAAAGTAACTATAAGCCAGTAATAGCACCACAACAAAGGTTCTATCGTCTCAGCTGTTTCTAGACACTACAGCCACACAAACAACAAGGCAACCCAAATGTATTAAGATCTGTAATAACTGAGACTCATACAGTAATTCAAAAACTGTCTTATAAGAATTATTATTCATTCTGTGTTCCCAACTAAAATAAATCTTACTTTCATCTTACTTCAGGAAACCATAATGTCAGTTCTTCAAGATAATGACAGATACAGCCAATTTACATCTTTGATAGAGGTAAGGACCCAAAAAAGCAATTCCATAATGCTATTTTTCAGATGTTCTTCAATATTAATAAAGTAATTTCACTTTTATTTTCAAACCAAAATAGAAAACTGGCCTAGGAATGGATTTACAGCAGGACAACAGACCTTACACAGTCTTTGTTCCAAGTAATGAGGCTTTGAGTAATATGAAAGCTGAGGCTCTGGATTACCTGCTTTCTGCAGAGGTATAGTCTTTCTATAATGCAATTCTTTTTTACACAGCAGATACATATGTAGATATATAGCAGATGCATGCATATATTGTCCAGTGTTCATCTAAGCTAAGCTCCTATGATCAAGGTTTAAGCCATCTCTAACAACTAAAGAACAAGATGACACCTAGAGAGGAACAGGACTTGGGGTCTCCCATCCTATAAAGCAATGCCGATTCCCCACACCAGGCCCCCACTCCCCTTCTCTTGCCTGGACAGCCACATGGCAAAGCCCCAAACCCTCTCCTGGAAGGTGTCACCCTTGGTGGGAGCAGTCAAGGGCAGCAGATGCCACAAGGGTCCCATTGGCTGGGAGATACTACTGATAGCGTCCCAGGAGGTTGATATCAGCATTCTGTCCCCTGGATGCCTCCTGCCTCTCCCAACACACATGCAAATTGTGAAAGACCAATGCCGAAATAAAAGGTGATGTAGGAGTGAGGGCATGGAGTGGTAAGGCACATGCCATGAGCTGAGCACCAACACTAACCCAGAGGTTTCTGGTGCACCAGATAGTGACACTGTTTTCATCCCTGTGTCCTCTCAGAGGCCAGGTTGGTTTCGTATGACTCATTTTGGTCTAAAATGGCCTCTTTTCTGGTTTGGCAGGGTTCATGGAAGTTGCTGGAGCTGGTCCGATACCACATTGTCTCCAATACTGAGGTGAGCGTGGCTGCTTTACTGACCTAGAGCATAAGAACATTTTCAAACCCTCTGCCACTCTGAAGGCAAAAGTTTTCCAAGAACAACCTCCACTCAGCACGGAAAGGCTGGAAAGGACAGCTATACCTCTGCCTTTACTAAGGGCACATAAAGGTCACTAACAGAGATCACTGATCAAAACAAAACCCTGCTAGGAGGCATGACGTAGTCCTTGAATCATGGCAAATTAAAACTGTGTTGTGTGACACTAGCATGTTATATGCAAGTAACTATTTCCACTTTAAAATATACCTTTTGGTGATGGGGACTTAGCCCAAGTGGGGAAAAAAAGATATATATATATATATATATGTCCATATAGGCTTCCTTAACCTGAGACCCATTACCTTAGCCTGCTGTTGAGGAAGAACTGCAGTCAGGGGGTACTGCCAGCTTGGCAGGGCTGCAAGAACAAGTAGCAGGAAAAGCACTTGTTGCTATCTAAATCAAACTCTCCCTGAGCCTATTCTGCTAAGATTAGTCTTCTGTTTATCAGAGAGAGGTGGTTTTGTCATCCTCTAAGTAAGCCCCCTGTTTTTCCCTCCTTTTTCTACTGGAAACAAAGAGCAGAACCCAGCAACACCACCAGCAACTAAGGCTAGAGGAGAGTGAAGTTTATCCCCAGCCCCTGCTGCGAGGAAGGAAGGATGTGCTCGTATCATTAGCAAAAGGCCCCACTCATAGTGTCCAAGGTGGAGGTCACTTCCAGCACAAAGCAGGATCACAGGGAACTGGGGCACGAGACCCATGTGTCCCTTCACGGCATATCAGCACTGCTGTTTCCACAGAGGTCTAAGGATGCAAACAGGGCTATTTTTAGGGAGAAATGATAAATTTACTTAGACTGGTTGCTATAATTAGGAGAAAAAATAATATTATTTTGGGCAACAAGCTCTTCAGATGCAGGAACCAGCAAGCTCAATACAAGTTTAATCACTCTAACTTCGTTACATGAGCAGGTTAGTCAATGCGGGGCTGCCCACGTAGCTAGAGAAAAGCTGATAGGGTCATTCACCCACCCTAAAGATAAAGGTGGTCTGTCTTGTGAAATCCATCTGGATTTGAAAAGAATAATGATATTACATTTCTTTCCATCAATTTATACTCCTTTCAGCTAGAGATTGCCAGCCTCGTCTCAATAGAGCACATCAGAAGCATGGCGAAGCAGTTCATTTACTTTAACAGAACCAGCACTGTAAGTCAAAGGCAGCTTTCACCTGGGAACAGCTCTGTCTGATCTAGGCAATTGTTTGCCTGCAGGGGGAATAAAAAAAAATGACAAGGGGGGACATGAGCAGAGGAATTGCTTGCTATAATGAGGCAGAAATTTTCAACTTGCTATTCCCACCTACTGCTAGAAATTAGTATTATAAAGTATGCAGAGCAAATGAATGGTATATAAGGACAGCCTGCAGTTTCTCTTTTCTTATAGTTAGCCCCAGTCCAGGAATGATCTTCATTTACACTCTGCCTAGATTAAAAAAAACTACTTAAAATATTTTAAATCATTCTGTTACGTATTTTGATTATTTTAAACACTTCTCTGCACACACAGATATTCATTCATTCTCTTTAATACTATATAGTCTCTGATCCTGATGAACCTAGTGAACACCTTTTTAAAGGTGCTAATTTGTCAGTACTTTTGCTAAACCAAACTTATCTGAAATGTTGAACTCTTCTGTTCTTTGCATATTTTAGCCAAATATTACCATTCTAGAGAAGCAACACATCTATGAACATTTTTGTAAAGGCAGAGAAGTTGCATAAGTAAATGCAGAAAGAGTACTTTTTTTTTTTCCTCCTATGAATTTGGATAAGCACAGATTCTCTCTCACTTTTCCCACTGCTTTGTCAGAGACAGAACCAAAACATGCTTATGCCCACTGAAATCAATGCCTGAAGTCACCAGTAGTCTTCCCATTTTGTCCAGTCTTTTAGTCACCAGTTCCACAGGCTAACAGTGCTGATTAAGAGGAAAACTTTAGGTACCGCTGTTGTAGGCCAATATCCAAGAGAACGTGCAACATATGCGTGCTGCTTGCATAAAACAAGTGTAACAAAAATAGATAGCAATTAAAAGGCAGTATGACCACAAATTCTTGAAGTTTACTGCGACGGTGCTGAGGCACTGGAACAGGCTGCCCAGGGAAGCTGTGGATGCCCCATCCCTGGAGGTGTTCAAGGCCAGGTTTGATGAGGCTTTGAGCAACCTGGTCTAGTGGAAGGTGTCCCTGCCCATGGCAGGGGGGGTGGAACTAGATGATCTTTAAGGTCCCTTCCACCCCAAACCATTCTATGATTCTATGAAATTAAATTATCAGAAATTGAGAAACTATGAATTTTTTTCACTAATAATAATTCATTGTTTCATAGGGACAAGTCTTGGTGAGTGGAGAAGAAATGGAAGAAACAGATATTGTTGCAAAAAATGGTCGGATTTATACCCTTGCAGGAGTCCTTATCCCCCCCACAATTGTTCCAATTCTACCACATCGGTGTGATGAGACAAGAAGTCAAGTCACAACGGTAAGAGAATCATGACAAATTGATAGCTCTTAACTGCTCCATATAGTGTACTCCAGCTTCCTCTTGACTGCTTTCTCTGATATTGTCTATAAAAAGAGGGGGTATGTTTGGAAATTAATGTATCAATGACATACAGCCACCTGGCTAGCAGTACTGCACAGATACAAATAATTTGTCAACAGGGGACTCATCCTATACCACTTTAATGCATTTAGTTCTTGCACTAGCCCATTTAAATGTGTTGTCTCTCCAGCTAAAAGTCTTCCTCCAGTTCCTGAATCCAACCTGTTCATACAAGTACATTGTAAGCAGTGTTAAGTTCCCAGAGAAACTACTTCAGATCAGTATTTTCATTTCTACTAAGGATGCAGGGAAAGGAGCCAGTGGGTTAAAATATTAACATAATAATTAATTTTCTATTAATATATTATAAATATGTTATTTTCTGAAGCCACAATTTCCCCTAGCCCTGGTTTCATCCAGTTTTCTTCAAATTAGGAATTACAAAACTGTTTCATATTTCAAAGGGTGGATTTTGACATACCTTGTTCACTGTGGTAACACAGTACAGGCCTTTACACTTGTAACATTCAGATACTATTTCTGGTAAGAAGACCAAGCATCAGACCGAGCTTTTAGTTCACAGCCAGCATGGCTCCAGCGAGCTATTACTGGACAGTGTTCAAGCACATATCTGGGCCAGTAACAGTTCCAGTACAGTAATGCAAAACATTTACCATCTTAACTTACAACAGTCCAGAACCACATCTTTGAAAGAGGTTCCCAGAAGAGCTGGTCAGCATCAAAATTTAATGAAGAAAACACAAGAGCTGGCAGTAAAGAACTCTTACATCTGGCAGTAACTACAAAGTACTGTATGTGCAATATAAACATGAACCAGATAGAGCGCCAAGCCACAATCTCCAATACAAAAAGCAGTCAACACCTTACAAATCCAAATTACACTCCAGTAATTTGAATTTCCCACCAGGAACCTACCTACAATCTATGTTTGACATCAATCAATCCCAAAGCAACACTATGAAAAATTATTTGAAGACAAAACAAATAGCATCTGTCACAAAAATTATTCCCCAAACTCAAGTCAGGAACTTTTGTCAGTCTTGAAAGCTTCATGCATAGTTTAAAATATAGTTTAATATCCAAGGCTTTAAGCAGAGCACTGCTATGAAGGAGAATACCAAAGGGAGCAGTGGCTTTGCTGTTCTTCCCTGCCATCACGCATCTTCATCACTCTCAGAATACTACTTGTGATACCAGTGAAAAGTAACAAACCTTGTAGGAACCAGCAGTTGTACACATCTATGAGAACTGTACATCCCTAAAGATGAAACTGTTATGCTAACACATACATATCCATGTAACTGTACCTGAATGCTGGTAATAAGTGCAGGACTCAGTATCTTGTTCCACCTCCTCCCAGAGGTCATCACTCCCACAGCAGACTTGGTGGAAGGGAATATATGTCTGTGCTTCTGACACTTTGGTGCAAAGACAGTATCTTAATCTACTGCTGAAAATGGGCAGATTGGACCTTGTGTGGAAGTGCAGACACCATCCCTCTTCTGTGATGTGGCAGAGGGGAAAATCAGGACTCCTATCCTCAGAAAAAGGAGGGAGCAGGTACACGTCAATGGCTGAGACCAATCCAGGTGGAGTAAGGGAGCAAACAGGTGAAACTGAGTGGCACTGAGCATCAGGGAGAGCAATGCCAACAGCAGGAAACACTTTCCACAGCAATCAGCCAGATTTTTAAGTTCTGAAGGAGCAAAGAGGCATTTGCAGGGATTTTCAGAAACACAAAGAAAGCGAAGAGCCTAAGTCAACTTCAGCCATCACTACACAGCTTATCAAAGAACTTTTATAATGTCTAAATGTATTTGCCAAAATACATCTGAGCCACAGACCTTTAAAACATAGTAGTGGCATTGGTACCTCAACTATTTGATGCTCAAATGCATTTGTAAGTCTGGTCCTTTATTCCTTTATGCCCTGTACAACATGAGGGAGTACTAAATCCAAACCAGTACCTGATTCTTTCCATGCAGCTCTAGTGATAAATCTGTGAGGAAAATGCCATAATTCAGGTTCATGGTCGCTTGTCCATGGATTATGAAACACAGTGAGGTAACACATCAGATGCCAGCTCTAGGATTTATTCTAACTTGGTTGAAATGCAAGACATTAGCAGTCACAAGCAGCACAGCTTTGACAAACTCCATATCCACACACTGAAAGGCTCAACCTCTCTGAAGTTGCACATTGAGCCTCTCAGAAGACTCGCCTGTAAAACTGCTACTGCAGTTTGTATACCCTCAGTACTGTAATTGCCAGTCTCTGTCACCACCACATGGTGATAAATTAGCTCGCGTAAAGGCAACCAAAAGGTGAAGACAGAAAAATAGTTAGGCACTGCTGGATCATAGTAGAGTACAGGATCTGGGATACAGAAGCAAATGATATTTTTCTCTCCACCACCCATACACAACACAAATTTCTGTTCACACTGTCTATATGTGAGACTTAACTAATTTGTGGTCTTCCTAAGAAGAAATAAAAAAATTCTCATAGAAGTTACATATACAGACTGCACCAGACCCTCAGACAATGTTAGTTAATACATTATACTGGCTTGAGCAAAGGACGCCAGTATATTCGTGTCCATGCTTATCTTCTATTTAGGAAGCTACCAGTTCTTTAAAAGAAGGGAGTGGGGGAAGGCCAAATGAAGATAAAAAGGGGAAGGTGGAAATGAACAACCACTCAGCAAAAATCAGAGCCAGCAGATATAGCCCTGGTGCTGCTGTTGGGTTCCAGATCCATGCTGTGAGGGTTAAACGCATAGAATAGATGTACTTAAAATTTACAAGGTATATAATCCATAACTATGTATCTCAGCAGTCAGTATAATGCCTTTTCAACTGACTATCCTTACTGTTTTCATCTAGGGTGTCTGTGCAAATTGTTTATTGCATGCATTGGCAACCTGTCCACAGGATTCACAACCCATTGTAAGTGACATTTCCTGACAGATTCACAATTGTACAAAATGCATAGAGGGAAGGACCCCCATATGTTGATTACTGCTCTCCCAACATAGTGAGCAAAAAAAAAAAAACCAGATATGAATACAGGAAACTGCATAAAACTACAAATATAGGTGGTACTGTAGTCTATTTTTTGACAATGATTAAAGGATCTGGTAATTTCAGCATTATTCTGTTTGCTGTTGCAAGATCCCTCATAGACTTTGTAGAAGTTCTTACTCTTTTATCAGGTAAAGTAAGATCTATTTCAGATAGAGTTTGACAGAAGAGAGAGGTGAGGATTGGGATTTGCTACAATTATGCTTTGAGAGTTAGTAAATGAAAAACAGAAGAGGAATACATTTAAAACAGACTTCACATCTGTTAGAAATTTTCTTTTGATTAGGCATCCTACCAGAAGTCTGCAGAAGCAGCTTCGGATAGGATTGAAAAATCTTACTTCTGCTTTGCATCTAGGAGATGCAAATCTGGCTGCATGTTCCTCCACATACAAAACTCAAGTCTAGCTGCTACAGGAATTTTATTCCCCATGTTATAAAAGTTCACTGGTAGATAGTTCTATATGCCATATTCAGTAATAACCTATATGCCATTATTCAGTAATAATAAAAAGAAAGTTAATATTATTTAAAAATACATAATTTAATAAATTTTTAAAATGCAACACTATAGCAAGGTGCTTTCTCTTCTCCAGTTAAATTATTTTGCAATATTAAGACTGTATCACAGAAATATGTATTGCTTAGAAATACTAATGCTTCCATTTTGTGCATGTTCCAGCCTTTCTCAAAACGGAGATGCATTATTAAAGGCCCAACCTTTCAAAAAACTGGCTGTGCTAGATCCTGCAACATAACAACAAAGGTACAAGTCTACGATTCCTTAAGGTGAAACGTATATAAAAGTTTTCGAAAATATTGTCTTTTTGCATTGTGAACATTCCTTCTGGAGTTGAGAGATGTTTGAATATGCCCATATAGTTTCCATACCCTTCTACAGGGGCTGAGGGGAGCTACTGTAAATCCTAGAGCAAAATACCACACAAATTCCAGTGAGGTTTTTTAGCTGCCATACATTATTGACAACAGCACTCTCATACTCCTGTACCTCAGGAGTTTTCACATAAGACTCCAAGCCCATATGTTGTTATTGCCCCATACACCTTCACCCCCAAAGACCAGGACAGTTTGGTCCCCCCTGCTCCCAGCTGCTCCTGTCCCAGAACTTCACACAATATTGGATAACAATGAATGGGAAACACTCCCGAGAACCACGCTCCACTTGCTCTGCTTAGCAAGTCTAGTCCTCGACAAAATCATTAGTTCCCAAGAAATACTTACAGCTTTCTGGCTCCTGGGCCTCCTAAATAGGCTTCTGTATTTCATGACCACCACTAAGTAACAAGCAGAGAAGTCTACAATTCTGTACACTTTGAGAGCTTTTTTGCTAATTCCCATTTCCCTTGAATCACACAGGTAAATGAGGTTTTTTTTCTAATACAATTTCTGTGCTCTTGGTTAAATAAATGGATCAATCAGACAATTCATAAATAAAAGATGCAGCAGAGAAAAAAAAAAACATTAGGGCCGTGTAGTGGCTAAATCCCATACTGGTGCAGAGGGAAAGGAGGATGATCAAAGCAGCATGTCTAGCTTTCACAGCGTCTCCCTGGCGTAAAACGTATCTTGGAGTTCCTGATCTCAGATGCAAAGGAGAGTGCCTGCCTCTGAATTGCACTGCACTCCCAGGCAAATACAAGAGCGCACACAATATGAGCAGACATACACAGTCACGTTTGTAACTGGTGACAGGACAGGGATTTCTAGAACTGGTGAGTCTGATGAGAACCAGGGAAGGATCTGGTGGCCCGTGCATCCCCCTTCTGGGGCTGCCAGCACCCCTCCAGGTTTTAACAAGGCCATTGCAGAGGTGGTTCTGGTTCAACACAAACCTTTCAAGAGACAGCTAACCCCTACAGGCCTTTTCCAGGGGGACAAAACAAGATGGAGAGTTGTCTTCTGTTCACTGCCTCCACACTAAAGCACTGGAAAAAAATGATATTTGCTTTACTTCACAGGAAGCAAAGTGTTGCAAAGGCTTCTTTGGCCCTGACTGCAGTCCATGTCCAGGAGGTTTCTCCAAACCCTGCTCAGGAAACGGGCAGGTAAGCAGAGTATCTGACAACACCCCATGCTCCCATGGGGGGAAGGACAGGCTGTGTCCCAGAAGTTCCTGAAGCACTTGTGCACAACAGGAATGTGAGGCTCCACAAGAGCTGTACCCTCTATTTCCATCCACTGATGGCTGTGAATTTCACCTTCAGTTACACGAAGGAGGGAAAATGAATCTGTCTCCTTTCAGATGCCCAAATTCCAGGTTTCTGTGGTTCCGACACACAGCACATGGGCAAGGCTGGGGCTGGGTTACCCACTCTGATACTTTTACTTTGCACAGCACAAGAGAATGACTCAGCTTATTATTCTCATTTTTAAATTGCAAAGGAAGGTAGAATGCCCAGCAGCAAAGTACAAGCACAAGGAAAGCTTTTGCTTTGAAACACCTTTTTTCATCAAAGCTGAGTTTCTTCCTGGTAGTCTATTACAGTCAAGATATGGTCAGGCATATAGTCTCTTCTCTGGGGGAAGGATAAAGATTTATTTCAATTTGTACATAGAAATCACCCCTCTTCCATATCACAGTGCATAGATGGCCTAGATGGAAATGGGACCTGCATTTGTGCTGAGGCATTTCAAGGCTTGAGCTGTCAGTTCTGCTCAGACCCGGGCAAATATGGACCTCACTGTGACAAAGGTAAGTACAGCTATCCTTCCTCAGCTCAAGAGCATGGGCTATTTATTTTGGACCCTAGCAACATTAAGGTAGGAGTTAACTGCTCACTAAACAGTCTCTACAGATGGTAAGCAAGATCTCTCTGGTGTACTTTAATTTCTTATTTCAAAGGGATACATCATAAGCCCAGAGTCAGTGACAATCTTCTCACTCACTTAATTGGGCTTCCTGCAGGGGCCATAGCTTGCTATATATTAATTTATTGTTCTTCTCATTTCTGTCTCCCTCACATAAGTAATTGAAAAGAAAATCTTTGTTATTCCATTCCCATCTGGTATTGCCCATAGCAGAACGGATTCTGCCTGCAATGACAAACATACGTAATCTGAGAACAACTCGATCTATAAACAGATGTGTTTAGGGCCACTTCGTAACCATCTTTACTGAATAATTTCTGATCTATTTAATAGCTTCTAGTAGTCATCTTCTATATCCTGACAGATTTAATCTTGCTATGTCAAACCATGCTATGTTTGAGAGTCTACAGAATATACAAGATCAAATATAGATATATTCCCCATCTACAAAATCATTTTATGACTTTTTTGCTATGAAACAGCCTGTCATTCATGAAGCACAGCTCACTCAAAGGTTCAGAAGTGCATGGACAAAAAAACAAAAAAGAAATTCCATAAGAAACAGTGGTGTTGCCTAAACTCCAGTCCTGCCAAAGCAGTACATGTTAGCTTAGCTAGTCACCACTCGCATTTCTTGGGATTGCAGAAGGCTTGCCTACTATGTCCTTTGGGCACATTGCTGTGCCTCCCAGCAACACAAATCAGCCCAGCCCCAACAAGATGCTGGTAGGTCTGTGCTGCTGCTTTGTATACCAGCCCAGCACAGTGCAATTTATAAGATTGTGGACTCAGTATTAAGGCTTCCCATATCACTGAACGTACGCCAAGAGTTGTGCAATGAAATAACTTTAGCCTTAATAGCTTGGGACATAGTATTTTGTTCCTACTTCTCTGAAGTACTTTTGACTTTCATTGATAGATAAATGCACTATAAAGACAAAACAGATTTTTAAATATTTATCCATAAAACACACCTGAAAAAAAAAAAAAAACATGGACATGATAAATAAAGAGTAAGTCCCCCAACAAAGTCAGACTTTAAAAATACTAAAGTTTAGATTCTAGAAAAAAAGGACCCAATTCATAAGAAATGCTATGTAAGGATAGATGCCTTTTACCACTATGGAATTGCACATTGTAATTTATCTCTGGTAGAGTGTCTCTGCATTCATGGGAAGTGTGATAACCGAATAGACAGCGATGGGATCTGTCTTCCTGGATCATGCAGAAGTGGATACATTGGGAAACTCTGTGATAAGCAGATTGTTCCCTGTGAGCCCTCCCTACAGCTCTGCCATGAACATGCAGACTGCCAGCTTAGTGATGGTACAGTGAGGTAAGTCAATAACTTGCATATAATTAATATGAACAATGATGCAGCTCTTTCCCATTCGCTTGATCAAAACAGCACCTTGTAGCAGTATAGAAACTTCAACCACTGAAATACTGCTATGGAACAAATAAACATAAATATGCACTGTATCGATCTTGATTTGCAAGATAGTAATTAGGAGTTCTCAATGCCCTGTCCTGTACCATATATTTAACACTAATAAGATAGATGCATATGGCTCTGATCCTTGTTCAGAAGGCTGCCTTCCTACCAACATCTACAAAAGCTCTTAGGATCCTTTTATCTCTAACCATCCCTTACTGAATTAGGAGTTTGAGCCTTGCTGAAAAACAATGAAACTCTCAAGTAGTTTGGGGATAGATAGCTCACTCTGGTCAGCTCAGATAAGATTTGCATGCCACAGCACTTCAGACTTCAGCACAGCCTCTCCAGTCCTGGTCACAAAACTCTGTTACTGCTACAGCTGCCTTACATTTGCCTCATGCTCATCTTCACACTGCCTTTTGCTGCAGTGTATTCATAATAAGTCACCACAGAAAGCAGAATGGAGGATGCTGCATAACTCAAGTGCTTAAGAAATTCCCTCCTATATGGGTTAATCTTGGGGGGGCAATAACCCAGGGAAACAATGGGGCTCATGGTCTTGCATGCATTTCAGGGAGAGAACTATCTTCTGTGTCACTGAAAGAGCAATACCAACCCAAAACAAAAGCAGAGCTTTTAGTTCACCTTTGCAAAGATCACATCAGCACAGAATTAATTTCATTTCCCACCTCATACACAGAGAATGAATCCTTGATTTGACTTAATTAACCCAGTCACTCTTTTGGAAAAAAACCCCATAAAGTATGCACTTAAGCTATTTGCATCATAAATCCAAGGTTGTCAGTTTTAAGCTGCCTATAAATAGCAGGTTACAATGGAAAACAATCACTTCACTTTACAGCTGTCCTATCACATTTAATGCCTCCCTCCTCCTCTTGTCTCTATAGCTGTGTTTGCAAACCTGGCTATGAGGGAGATGGCATGAGCTGCAGCAAAGTTGATCCTTGTGCTGCTTTAAACCCAGGTGGCTGCAATATCAATGTAAGTATGTGCTTTTCCCACAGAGCCTGACACCATATAAAAGTAGGCAGTAAGGAAGGTTTGGCCAGAAACTTTCGCAGAAGGAAGAGTCACATTTTTCACTGCAGTTTCAAGCTCTTCCCCCAGACAGAGTCATCTCTATTGCTTAGACAGGCCCTAGACCAAAAGCCAGACGCCACCACACTGTCCTGAATTGATGCCTCTGCATCTCCCCCAGGCCGAGTGCCTTCAGATGGGCCCAGGAGAGCACACATGCATTTGCCAGGAAGGATGGACAGGTGATGGAAGGCACTGCTCAGCCATCAACAACTGCCTGCTGCCCACCACAGCCGGGTGCCATGAAAACGCCACCTGCATATACATTGGGCCGGGTCAGGTATGTCCCCTCACAGTCATTGACACCTTCAGCACTCGTCATTGCCCATTTTGCTCTGCCAGTGCTTCCTAACACATTTTCTTCCATAAATTCTCCTCTCCCTCCCAGCCACAAGATTTCCACACATCACTCTCCACCCAAAGCAGTCTCCTTCAGTTCCTGTCCCAGCGCTCCCTCCCTCCTACATGGTGGTGTTCTAGCAGCAAATACTTTTTAATAAGTACGTTAGTAAATGTCAGGTATAAAGGTCTTCCAGATAATCAGCGTCATTCCACTGAAGTCAATGAAGCTACACAGAAACAGAGAGAGACTAATTCACCATGTCTAAAATATGCACACTATTTTAATCATTTTAATGAATCGCTGTGTTTTATTGAAACAACAGAATGACTGCAAATGTAAGGATGGATTTTGGGGGAATGGAATTGAATGCACACCCATAAACTCATGCCTGGAACAAAATGGAAAATGCCATCATCTGGTGAGTAATTAATCACTCCCTGAACAAAATGTTCAGATGCATATCATACCTCGCCTCCTGCGCACACCATAGAATTTCCTTGCCATTTCAAGCCTGCAATTTCTGTTTGAGTTGGAACAAAGCTTTCCAAGCTGTGCTACAAGCACCAAAAATGCTATGTGAACCACGTCAATATGGTATGTGCACTGAGGACAGATTGCCAGGGCTGCTCCCAATTCTGCCTTTACAGAAGGACTGTCTCAAGCCTGAAATTAATAATGCTGCTCCTCTATCAGCAATTAAAATTTGGATGCACTAGCCTGTTGGGATGTTTACCAAGTCACACATCCGTATGAGGGCATCCATCAGCTTTATCAGTAGCTGCATGTGTTCAGCAGAACTGCAGGGTCTGCTTGTGCTCTGTAGTGCCTGCAAGAGCCACACTAGCCTCAGGCAGGAAAGAACTAAAGCAAAGGGCATTGGAGAGCAGAAGATGGATCTGGCAGGATCATGGACCAGGGCCCAGTTTACGTAGAGAGGAAGAAAGAAAGGGTGGAGCAAGAGTTTAGCTTCCTATAGTCTCAGTGAATGGTGGGCAAGTGAGGGAGTTCATGCCCTCAGCTGGTGGAGTTTCTCCACCATAGGTAGGTGAGGTCATCCATGGAAGATGGTATGAAGATCCTTTGTTAAGTTTATGTTTGTATATGAATGGGTTTTAGTAAGAGGCTTTACAGGACATCCTTGCTCTTGAGTGGTCTCCAGAGTATTTGACAAACTTTCTCTCTTTCTGATTTAAAGGCAACTTGTCAGCTTGGGTCTTCTCATGGCTGGGAGTGTGTGTGTCCAAAGGGCTACGAAGGAGACGGTAAAATATGCTATGGAAATGCTGCAGATGTAAGTAGGATAGCCATCTTCTCTGAACACGAGACCTACTGCACAGTTCTCACACTGGCTCTTAACCAGAGAGACAGAAAAGCCATTATAAACAGTTAGAAAAATATGATGCCCACCAGTGCTGTCTGCAGACAGTGTTCCTGCTGGAGACTATTGCCTGATAAAAAATTATCTGTTGTGTTATAAAACATAGCTTGGAAAGGGACCTAAGGGATCCGAGCAGATTTCTTTCAGACAAATTGAAAAATGCCAGCCCCACAGGCCTAATGGTGAGCACCCAGCTCTTCTGAAGTTCTGCCTTGAGGTCTGTCTCAGTGTAAACGCTCAATTTATCGTGTTAAACAAACCATGCTGACTAGCAGGCAAATAAAACCAAAACAAGTAAACTGGTGAAACAGATAGGCATTTAACAGCATAGGAAAAATTAAAGTGTCAGCTGTCCCAGCCACTGGCGATAATCTTACATGGCCCTTAGCACTACCTGCTATCCCTGGTCATACCATCATACATGTCTGTTCAAAGTACTGTGGCAGAATAAAGACTCTCCACTTGCAGTATGATAGGTAAGATGGTGTACAAATACCAAGCAAAACAACATACCTTTTTTTTTCAATTAATTTTGCATTGAAGAAAAGATTTAGGTTTACATTCCCAGAAAATTAACCCTTAGCCTGAGGTCAGTACACATTACGTACCAAGGTCAGGTACACCTAATACATCTAAGCAACAGATGGCCTGATTTTCAAGAGAGTTGACAACTCACCATTCCTATTACCAGAAAGTATCAGTACTAGAAAAACACAAATGCCTTCCCTTTTCACACACACTGAAAACCTCCTCCTTCGTGTCACATCAGCCAGGCCAGACACAGCAAGTTACAGCAAGAGTACTTTGGTACAGTTAATCATAGCTTACATACTCATTGCTCCCTCTTTCTGTTTCTAATCAGGAGTTATCTACTCTATCAGAAGCAGCTGCATTTAACCAATGGGTTAATGTAAGTACACTTCATGGCTGATTTTTTTTTTTTTTTGTTTAGTATTTTCGAGTTTGCAGAAAAATAAGAGCCTTTTAGCCTTTAGAAATGGGAACCTCACAGCAATATTCCCATCACACAGCAGATGCCCAAGCTCCAGAGAGGCATTGGAGTGCCTGTCTGGTTCCCTATTTCTGCCTGAAAACCAAATTCTGATCCCAAATTCAGGCAAGTAAGGAAGATCCACAATCAGAAGAGAAAGTTATAAGCCCACTCTCTGAGACAGGGGGTTACATAAGCCATGCCTAGCTCTGTACATAAATACACTTTAGTCCAGATGACAAGCAGTGGGGCACAAGCAGAGCCTGAATATGCCAAGTGGCTCTTTCCAACTTCACTCATGCAATAAAATTACAAGCAAGTGGAGAAGTGGAGGGGAAAGGCAAAGACTTACCCTTTCTGTTTTCACTGAGCCCCGCTCCAGGCAAACGCACCAGTATGGCTGGTCAGCGTGCTGCCGCTGCAGCAAGCAAGAAGGGAAAACTTCAGTCTGTGCGGGCTTGACTGAGGTACAGGACATGAAGAAACTGATTGACTTGTTTGGCTTCAGATTAGGGAATAATTTAGATTAAAATTTAAAAAAGTTCTAGATAAATTGCTTGTCACTGCCTATTTTTTATTTTCATGTGCTATCATCTATTGCTAGGGCAGCAGTAACATTAGAGGGCCTACCCTGCTGTGTGGTTGGCACTGTATGAATAAAGATCAAACCCAGTTTTTCCCACTAAGAGCTTAAAACCTAAATATAAAAAGTGTATAGCAAATACATGGCAAACAGAGAGGAACAGGGATATGTTAACGAATAGCATCAGAAGAAGAAGCCACAGCGCATTAGCTGCTTTCATGCTTTTCAAAATTAGATGGCTCAGGGATCATTAAAGCATGCAATTGCAACAGGGACCTCAGGGAGCTGCTTAAAACAGAGGCCAGCGGGGCTAAAATTTAAATCAGTGAACTGCCTGGCCCTGGGTTTATGCTGCAGCACTGGACACTGTACAAAGAAACTAGTGAAGTTAAAGAAATCAGCACAATAGGTAAGGCTGTTCACCTGCTAATAATGTGCTCCTTAGATAATGAAGAGGGGGATGTTTTTGCAAAGGGGGGAGGGGAATCAGGGAGCAGATTCTGTATAATCTGCTGAAACACGGATTTGGAAATTTCTGCTACACTTCAGAGAAATGGTATCCCTTAAATTAAATAATGGTAGCTATGAACATGAGCAAAATAGGGAAATATATCTATCTGTGGGGTTTTTTACTTCATACTTGAGCAGGAA